TATATATATTATATATATATATACTATATATATATATAATAAATATATATATGCCACCTCACAAGCCAATGTCCCCAGCAAGTCTTAGTGGCTCAGGCTCCCCCTCCTCCCACCAAGCTAGTCTCCCACATTATCACTTGAGGATTCATAAAAAAGGCCACTTGACCCACTTTTCTGAGTTTTATTCCAGAACAAAGGGCTTTATAACAAAGCTGATTTTAAACCCAGTACAACCCATTTCCCCACTGGGCACAGCTCTGCCTGGATCAGCCCTTCAATCCGCACTTCAGAGGGAAGCAACTGCTCAGCTGTGAGTTTGATGTCAGCTACTGACTCAAAGAATTCCAGAACAAATTCCTCAAGGCCAACAGTGGGAAATGGTTCAGCCAGCTTCCTACTCTCTGTGTTTGAAAGGGAAAGAATATGTGCCAGAAATAATCTACGATCCCGAGTTTGTGCAGATCTGGCTTCTTAAGCAAAGAGCAGGGAAGTGTCCTTTCAATAGTCTGTCTGCTTTCAGATCCCTGCTGTTCTGCTCAGACCCACATGAAGAACCACTGTGATCTCCTGCACATAGCTGTGGAACACTGACAAGAAGCCTGCCCCTGATGGCCATCAGACAGACACATTGGTATTGGAGCTGAGGAGAGCAGTTAGAATCCCTGCACCTCCATGCTGTGTCTCACCCTTACCCCAGACCACACCCACTGGGACTTTCAAGAACAGCTGTCTGGGCCAAGGCTGCCCAACCTGACAGGCTCAAGTGTTCTGGTTTTTAACCTCCTGAAGAGATTGCAACTGATCCTTAAAGAAATAGCAGCTTACTTTGACTGAGGCTTACTATGTGCCAGGTACTGGGCTAAGCACTCAGCACTGATTCCTCATAACCCTATGAGGTAGGTTGAATTGTCGTCCCCATTATATAGATAAGCAAACAGGCTCAAGAGTGAAGTTACATACTAGCATGAGGCCTCAAGGCTAGTAAAGTGACAAGCAAAGCCAGGGCTCAAAAAAGGGTCTGTGTGACCTTAACTTTTGGTTACCCTAATCTCGGAAGGAAGGTTGGGCATTCCTACTTCCGTAGTGATACTGCCTCGGAAACCCAAGGAGGGGTCGCTATGAGTCGGGGCCGACTCGATGGCA